CCCAGTCCATAGTATTTGTTATGGCAACCCTAGCGAACAGGGCCCACACAGTTAGAAATAGTCCTGGTAAATAGTAAGTAATCAATATTTTTTTGATTGAATTGAATAAACGAGTCATTATGTGACATGCTCATCAATACATCCCTTCCTTGAGACGGTATGATTGTCACTGAGGGGGTGGGGAGAAGGGAGGTGCATTGGAGAGCACGAGGCCCGGGAGTTAGGGAGAGTGCGAGGAAGCCGTGCACCCAGACGAGCGTGGTAACAAAAGAGGAAGAAAGGCCTCAAGAGGCTCAAACTGTACAAATCTCTTTTTTTCTTTTTTTTCTTTTCTTTTCCATTTGGCTAGGGTTAGTTCTGAAATTGAGCAAGGTTCTTGGTTAATTACTAGTGTGTGTGTGTGTGTGTGTGTGTGTGTGTGTGTGTGTGTTTAATGGCCCTCCTTAACATTAGGTAGGACTATCTGAATCAGTATGAATTTAGACACGATGTGGATATTGCTCGCCACAGAGAAAGCCGGCAATGAGAGTCCTTAAGTAAACAACAGATAAAGGGAGGAAGAGGGACACAGTGTAATAATAATTGGAATAATTGGAATTCTTTTATCCCTCATGGCACTTACAGTGAAAGTACTTTATGCACTGTCTTCTGCGCATGCAGGATAGGTAAGTTATATACAAATGGTTCTCACATATTTTAAAAAATGTTTTCCAAGAAAATATAAGATGAAATTTACTAAGGTCTATGAAGCTGGTAAATGAAATCCGAATCACTCATTGTTTCCTAACAAAGAGTAGCCGTTCCGCTTGACAACCAAAAATTCAAACTATCTCCATCAAGTTCTGGGTAGGCAGTCAGAAAATGGCATCAAGGTCCCAGGTTTTGTGAAAGTAAGTTTCTTGGTTTGATCCTTGGCTTATAGATCATTAAAAAAAAATTCTTTTTTTTTTTTTTTTGAGTAGTGGTGGGAAGTAAAGGCTGTTAAAGAATCGGATTCCAGGGCCGGCCGAGTGGCTCAGTTGGTTAAGAGCTCGCTCAAGAGTTTGAGCTCTGAGCAACAGCGGTTCGAGTCCAGCCCGAGCTGAATGGCTCAGCTAAAAAAAAAAAAAAAAAGAATCGGATTCCACTTGGCTTCTCATTAACTTATAGCTTTGCAGGCTTAGGTAACATTTGATTGTTAAAACCTGTTATAATTATACAGGTATAATTCTGTGGTTAAGGGAGTCGACTCCAGGGACGGGAGTCTGACAGAGAGAAGGATGGCTCTGTACTTTGATGTCCTGGCAAAGCCAGAGCCCATCACCTGGCTGGTGGTGCCATTGGTTGGGCCTGGGGTCTCTGTGCTCCAGTTTGTAAGAGGTCATGGTCCACACTCTCAGCCAGGAGACAGCATACATCCATCGTGACAGAAACCTCAGGGCAGCGGTTGCCTATAGGGGTTAGGGGGCCGACTAGAATGAGCATGAAGGGAGCTTCCTTGAAGTGATGCAAATACTCTGATTTCACTGAGCTGACTGTGACATGAGCATATCCATCTAGCCAAACCCATCAAACGGTACCCAGAAGATATGTGCACTTCACCCGTATAAATTTTACCTCATAAAACAAAAATCAAAGATCAGTTGAAAAAAGTCTACAAGCTGATCAAAAGCCCTTAAAACAAACAGGCTGAACTATTTTAAAAATGAGCAGCGACTTAAAATTCTTCATTTTTCTTCCCCTTTAGAGGAAAATGGATGGTGTCAAATAAATGCGCAAGGACACGCTCCCAAACAGAGCATTGATAATAAAAATAATGAGCAGTTTGAACATGGCTAGACTTTCATGTCTCAGAGTGGAGGAACCATTTCTAGGAGTATAAGCTATTTTGGAAATAGTTCCACATTTATTTTCTTTCGTATTTCTGTTGGAGGAATAATGTTTTTGTAAATGTAAAAAAGCTTTTAATGGAGCTACAAAAGAAACTATGTTTGGTCATAGTATCATCTGGTTATGAACTAAAAATTCAGAGCTTTCTTGTGAATCATGCTGCCAAGAATTGCAGGCTTAATCCTCAAGACTGTACGAATTTGAATTTTGACTTTATGGTCTCAGTTGGTATGAGGATACTAAGATAATCTTTTAGCAAAAAACGCTTTTGGAAATGGTAGAGCATTACATGGAAAGTTAGCTTTTGGAGATGGTTATCCAGATAGATGTAACTTTATTTTATCCTTTTAAGTAGCTGGATTAATAAATTAGCCAATCTTCAATTACCTAATATGACCAGGCACAGTGCTAGGCACTCAAAGAATCCCCAAATAACTTTATGCACACCCTGTCCTTAAGGAGCTACTGAGCAGGATGAGGGGATGACAAATATAATAATAATTCAAATTCAAGGAAGAATGTAATAAATGCATGAGAAATTCCATTGGAGTTCAGAAGAGAGGAAATTCCTTTTGAGTAAGGAAGCATGGTAGATGTGGTGGCATTTGGGCTGGGCCTTAAAACATGACATGCTTTCCGACAAGCCAGCAAAGTGGGGGTCAGAGGCAGAGAGACTATCATCAGGAAGGCTTTGAGTGCTTGGAGTCTCAAGTTCGTGTTGTGTTGAAGCATAAGCTACATGTGGCGCAGATACACTAGACAGGAGGTAGTTACAGAAACAGAGGAGGGCTAGAACTCCTGGAGAAGTAGAATCTGGGTGAAGAAAGGTGGAGCTGGTCATGAGAAGATGGACCCCGAAGGAGTGAAAACCAAGGAAGTCAAAGACAGAAGGACCTAGGAAGAAGTAGGGGAAGGGAAGAGGCAGAGGTTATGGGGAGGCTTCTACGGGGAAGGTGATGAGAGGCTGAAGGAGGTGTTAGAAGAGGAAGGGGAAGAGAGAGAGGGCCAAGCTAGAATGCTCAGGAATAAGGACTGCAAGAGAAAGATAACCCTCAAAGAAGACTCCCAGACTTTAATCTGGGCGACGGGAGGGGCAGTGCTGCTGTTCACAGGCTGGGTTGGTTGAGAGGAACACCATGTTTGGGGGGGAGAGAATGATGAATCATCTTCTGAACAAGCCAGCAACACCCAGGAGACTGCTAGAAAAGTGAGTCTGGAGATACACTCAGCAGTGGAGCTAGAGAAGTAGACTTGACCTTTCTTCACCTGTGAGTACCGTTACGTCATGGCAGGGGGAGAGCATGTCCAGCCTGACAGTGTAGGGGGGGGGCGGGGAGGAGAGAGTGGGGAGCCAGACTGTGAGGTTGATGCCAGAAGCACTAGGAGAAAATTGACAAGGTGCAGTATCCTTTCCCACCCACTGTCACGGAGCCTGGGAGACAAATCTTACCAAGAAGAGGAAAGAGACTGATGGAGAGAAAATGTTCAAGAAAATTGTCTTTACTGGATTAACCATGATTATTAGTCTCAAAATACTCAAAGGTCTATAAAGAGCTAGCTAGGTATCTTATTCTTCCTCTGTTCCAGAAGAATACTTGGAGATACTCCTTCTCTTTCTTCCTTCTTTTTCTTCTCTGTCCTTCCCTTCCCTGTCCTCCCTTCCTTGCACATTCTTGTTTATTTTGGGCTGGTGGCCATTATTGACCTAAAAGAGGAGCCAGGATTCCCACTGTCCCTGACAAGAGAACTATCTTTCTTTTCAGTATTTGACATTACTGCTGATTGTGGAAGGAGATTTGGGCTCCAAGATGGCAATATTTTGGGTCTTTCATGGCACGAAATATATATTTGCAGTATGACATCATTAACATTTTTGTAACTTTTTAAATATAACTTTGTACTTCTTTCTTTGTACTGGCCTCAAGAGCCACTCGTAAATCTCTTGGTAACTGCATAGGATCCTGGGGCCAGGGACTGGCCACTCCTGGCATTGTGATTAGTCATTTAATACCCAAGGCAATGACTAATGTCTGGAACGAAGCCTCCGCTAGGAGTCATGTGTCCTGGGACCCTGGGCGAGGGCACACTGGAGACACCTTATTGCTGGGGTTAGTACCATAGTCAAGAGAAAAGTCGAGGACCAGGTAGGTCCACATGGGCACCACTAGGACACAAGCGCTCCCTTCCCATCATCAATGCTGGTACAACCAGAAAGACTAAGATCGGTGGAAAACAAAGATACCCACCTTTGTCTTATCTTCATACCTCAGCTTTTAATAATATATATTTTTCATGTGTTTACAGAAAGCAGTCAACTGAGCTATTCGTGGAAAGGTTTGTGGGTTTGGTTAACGACGTGGAGGAGTATTACATTTCAGCTGGAAACACATCCCTAGAATGCCAAAACATTTATTCCAAAGTCTGGTTTCCTGGTGCAATCGGAGGCACGGCAATAGTGTGTCTAGTGTGTCCGTTCAGAGACTGGAGGCTGGGGCCAGCAAGGCATTTGATCCAAGTGGATCCCAGAAGGCTTTTATTGTTAAATTATATTCTTCAGGAAAAACCGCCCATGTCACATTTTTAAAACTTGATATCCATACACTTTTGACTGGCATTCTATTTTAGCCATAAGCCTATGATTTACAGCAAGGCTGTTTTCTCTCTCGCTTTTGATGGCAGCAGAAAGCATGGGTCACTTTCTGGGCTCCATGGAGAAGTAGCAAAGGGGGCTGGAGGTTTGCTTCCCAACAAGAGTGTGACTCTGGCTGTGCCACCCTGCTCTCTATGGGCAGACAGCAAGCTTCCCCTCACTCCCCACTGCCATTCATCCAGCTCTGTGCAGCAGCTCAGCTGCTGTGTCTGCCGGGAGGGGCTGCCAAGTGCCCTGCCTACTGGCTGCTTCCCGAATCCCTGCCATTCCACACACAAACACATCCACACACGCTCAGCCTTGCTCACACACGGAGCCACACGCACATGCGAGCACATTCCTCCTTTCATTCTTACTGTCTCAGCTCTTGACTTCTATGAGCCCATGGAACCTTTCTGGAAAGACGCTCTTGATCCAACAGGGTAGGATTGTTGTTTGATTTCTCTATTTGTAGCTTTAGCATTTTGAGAAAGCAACTTACCTTTCTGGCCAGTGTCTGTATCCTAGCAGGGAGATGAAGATTTGCTGTTTTCCATGGTTTTGTGTGTGTGTGTGTGTGTGTATGTGTGTGTGTGTGTGTGTGTGTGTGTGTGTCTCCTTTTGCTTTCAGGACTTATAGCATTCTTGGTGTAATTTATATATAATTTGGCAGGTTCAGATTTTTAAGAGCCCTATGAAGTGCTTTTGCATGTGTTTAAAAAAGACATTTGAAAATTGGAAGTGTGATTTACGGAAACAAAATCATCTGCAAAAAAAATTGCTTTGGAAAGTAATAGTTGCTGGCCATAAAGAGAAATATCTGTGATTCACCTAATGTGGTTTTAACTCTTTCTTTGCTTACAGTCTATAGTTATTGATGCTAAGGTCAGTTTTGGCTTCATATAAAATCAATTATATCTGCATATAGTCCTCAGTCTGTTTGTCTTATAAGAATTAGGTAAAATGTGCATTTATTAGTATAAAAGTATCCAAAATATTACCATTAGTAACAGTAACCTTGGCATTTATATATGCCACAAATATTTTGCCAGGTGCTCTGTTGGGTGTTTGGGATAGCAATTAAAGCAGAGTATTAGTGGTTGCATCAGATGGTCATATCAGAGTCTATTAGGCAAAGAAGTTTACTAAAAAATCTAAACTATTCAAGATTATGGGTGCACAATATATTCCCCATACCTTTGGGGTGTGTGTGTGTGTGTGTGTGTGTGTGTGTGTGTGTGTGTTTAGCTTTCAATTCAGTTCAAAACTTTTTTCTATTTCTTTATCTGGATATTTGATTTTGCATATCCTAGTCCATGTGAACCCAGAAGGTCCAACTGTAGGAAAAGAACAGAAATGTATCACTGCAGTTTAAAATTTGTTGGTTAGACCAACAGGGTAACATAATTGCCAAAGATGTGGTTAATGACCTGAAGTTACATATTGTATGAAAAGGTCACATTTCATATTCAGTTTTCTGAAGTTTTAGTTGCATAACCGGTGGAAGGCATGGACACCCATGTGCCCCTACCCAGAGGATTTTTTGAATCATCATTCACATCAGAATTCCTAATGGGAGCAAATACTGTGGTCCAACCCAAACATGCAAGTCAGGCTGGGACAATCGTACAGGGTCATAGTTGGAAGGGACCACTTTGAGAGAATTTGCAAAAGGAAACAGGTCCAGCAGCATTCTCCTGATTGCAAATACAGCTCTTCCTGTATGAACACCTTGAATCTCTGCCCTCCCTCCCGCCCCCCAGATACCTCCTACCTATCCTGTCCCTGCAGCTGCTAAATATAGCTGTCTGTAGCTGGCTGCGTATGAAACTGCACACCCCATTCTATCTCCGTATCTCAGTTAGAGTGGTCCTCCCCAGGGTCATTCTATGTACACACTACATATTTCCAGCCAACAAGAAGAGTGAATCAAACAGCAAGAGAGACAAACAGAGATAGATTGGAGCCTGGCACCGGGTACATAAGGCAGCGCGTTAGAGAAAGCCCGCCCCTGGATTAGCCTTCCCAGTTCATTTTAAACCGGGTCTTCCCTGGGCCACCTTTAGAAGTTCCCTCTGAGCCCCCGCCCGCCTGCTGTGAAATTCAGCCTCTATCTAGCAGCCGCAAGAAAAGTTCAGGGAAGCTGCTCTTTGGGAACGCTCCAAGATGAGTTGCGCCTGGAGTGATGTTTAAGCCAATGTCAGCGCAAGGTAACAGTTCTTGGCCGCCTTCCAGCACCTTTGTAATGCATATGAGTCCAGGAGACCCGGACTTAAAGTTGGAGACCTGGAGCCTGGGAAGTTGGCGGAGCGCGCTCGCCGGGCTGCACTTGCTCGGCGGAGTCCGGCTGCCCAGCTCTGGGGGACGAGCTAACGTCTCCCAGGACGGGGCCAGAGCTCGCATCACAGCGGGACATGCACCGCGCGGCCTCTAACCGCGGGCTGTGCTTTTCTTTCAGGTGGCCGGCCGGCTGCTGAGCTTTTCGCCGTGCAGGGGGACGGTTTGCACCTTGCCCGCGGCCACGGACCATGACCACGACCCTTCACACCAAAGCGTCTGGAATGGCTCTGCTGCACCAGATCCAAGGAAACGAGCTGGAGCCCCTGACGCGCCAGCAGCTCAAGCTCCCCCTGGAGCGACCCCTGGGCGAGGTGTACGTGGACAGCAGCAAGCCTGCCGTCTACAACTACCCCGAGGGCGCGGCGTACGACTTCAACGCTGCGGCCGCCGCCTCTGCGCCGGTCTACGGCCAGTCCGGCCTCGCCTACGGCCCCGGATCGGAGGCGGCAGCGTACGGCGCCAACAGCCTGGGGGGCTTCCCGCCGCTCAACAGCGTGTCCCCGAACCCGCTGCTGCTCCTGCACCAGCCTCCGCCGGAGCTCTCACCCTTCCTGCACCCCCACGGCCAGCAGGTGCCCTATTACCTGGAGAACGAGCCGAGCGGCTACGCAGTGCACGAGGCCGGCCCGCCCACGTTCTACAGGTACTGGCGCGGTCCGCGGAGCCACGTCGGGTGCCAGCCGCGCAACTGGTGGGCGGGAGCGCGCGCGGGGGTGGGCGGCTGCCGTGCAGGCCGCCGGGCTGGCAACGCTCCGCCGCCTCGCGGAGCTGCGGCCGGGCCCGCGGGTTATTTGTAGATCTCGCGTTGGAGAATCAGGTTCCCTAGCTTGGCAGCTTAAGAAAACAATCAGTTCTCCACCCCGCTGCTTGAGAGGCAGATATGAAATCCCGTGTGCTTCCTAACTAAACAGATGTTGGAAAACCTTACAAAGCAGCAGCACTTTGTGTGTGTGTGGGGGGACCACCCCAAAGCAAATAAACACAAGGCGCTTTGAGTCCCTAGTAAATGTCCCGCTTTGGGATTTACGGCTGGCGGTTTTGGGGGTTAGGGAAGCTCAGTTTTATTTATTATTATTTAAAAATTTATGTTTTAATGGGCTCGCAAAATTTCCTTTCATCTAGAATTTCAGATTGGAAATATGCACGCAGTGATGATGATGATGATGATGATGATGATGATGATGATGATGTTGTTTTTGGGGAGCGATTCCCAGCGCCCACTTTCCTCCTCCTCCCCAGCCCAGATTCAGGGCTTTATTGACCTGCACTCCTCAGGGAGCCATAGAGCTGTTGAATGGTTCTTAAGCTTCTGATCTCTGAGTTACCTGGCTGGGTCCCTGTTGGAACAGGTTGCTGGCATATGACTTACAACAGCCAGAAATTGACAGGTGTCCTGTGAGTTTAAAACATGCCACATGGAAGCACTAGTGTTTTGAAATCCCCTCCTGCAGCTAAATCACATTTCTGGCCCACCAGGCAGAAAATGCCCGTGCAGTCACGTGTGTGTGTGTGTGGGGGGGGCGGGGGGAGTGGAGAGGTGGGGGTCGGCTCCTTCTGTACCTTTCAGTCATCGTGGAAGAAGCACTGGCCATTGAGGACACACAGGAACGCCTTTGTGCCGAAAGTGGCAAATGTTTTACATCCTATTTATTTTTCTCTCTAGTAGAGAGTATACCTTCCTCCTCCCCCTTCCCTCCCATTTTCCCTTTGACAATTACCCCCTTTTCCTCCTGATGGACTTGAGAGAGCTTCAGTGGGTGTTTATGGTGGATGCCTGTGCCCTAGGACCCCCTGGACACGGATGCCCTAGAAGTGGGTTTGGGAGGCCTCAGGGCGCCCACGTGGCTGGGTGCTGAGTTAGGCGCTGCCTGCCTGACTGCTCACCAGTATCAGACCAGCCACCAACCCCACCCAGACTCTTCATTGCAAGCGGTGGACCATTTTTCCTATTCAGTGTTCTATTTCCAGAGGTATTTATTTATAACAGAAGAAACAGGAGGAAAGTGCAGGTTGGTCCCAGAGGATACTGAAGGGGCAGTTTTAGGGTATCTGAACTTACCCTGTATCCTTCAGTCCCCTCAAAGGACGTGAGAGCATCCCACGGCCAAACAGGTCCAGCCTGAGTTATTCCTTAAAAGACAATGAACAAAATTATAAAGTCTTTAAAAAGAACAAAACTTTAAAAAAAGCATATTTCAAATTCACTTCACTTGTTTTAATTCAGGGTTAACATGAAAAGAGAAAAAGAATTCATTCTGCCCACTTTAAAAAAAAGTGTTAGAATAAAATATAATTATATAATTATATCTAATTCACACACATTTTAAACTCCTTGATATGAAAGAAGGCGCTGGTATGATGTGAATTCCAGAACCTCGTGATGGACTCCAGAAACTATTTTTTTTCCATTAATTTTCAGTTCTCTTATTGCAAATTAATGCCACTGAATTTCAATGGGCACTAATGAGACTGCTCCTCAGTGGATTATTTACTGCCTTGCTACTAATTACAAAGTGAGCATGGTCAAATAAAAAGGGGATCACATTTTATTTAAAATCGCTCATCACCCCAGTGGCAAATAATATTGCCATAGTATGCCCCATCTTAAACTTTTGCACCAGATGATATTCAAATACTTTTAGAATGATACAAAAAATGACAAGGAACTTTAAAAAAGTTAAAAAAAACACACAAAAAACTCACACAAGTGGAATTCTTTGTGAAAATTCAGTTTTGGAATGATTTTTCCCTTATCATTTATTTCCCATAACATCTTCTTTTGTTTGAATTCTGCCTCCTACTACCCAGGGAGGAAGTAAAGGGTCTGTGCAAGGGTTTATTTAATTTTTATTAAGAGTTATTTAGTATTTCCCCTTTTAGTTTCCTTATTTGAATAACTCTGGGTAAAAAGCAAAGCATTGATTCAATTTCTAGGAAACTTTAATTTTTTGTAGTAGTTATCAAAAGTTTGGGGGCTGAAAGCAGTATTTTCAAACTGCTTGTTATGACCCAGAGGATGATGAAATAAGTTTAGTGAGACTAGAGCGTTTTTTAAAAGGAATAAAATAGAAAAGAATGCAATAGAAAATATCAGAGTGCATAACATTTAGTAGGGTGGGTTTTGTTTCCTGAAAAATTGTTTTAATTATACATGCTTGTGTGTGCAGGTTGTGATGTAAAATGTATTTCTCACTGTGGGTTGAGGTAAAAAAGGTTCGAAAGCTATTGGCTTAAAATGTTATGTTTAGTAGAAAACAAACAAACAAACAAAATCAGGTAAGTGCCTGGTTGTTTTATCTGCACAAACTAAGAAGCTGTTTTGATTGCCTTAATTTCATTTTACCCTCATAAATTAGTTGGTGTCTTTAGGTCAGTTAGATTGTTTTATTATTCCTGAATCTTAGCTTTTCTGTTTGTAGAATGGTGCTATCATGTGGACTGTCCACCTGAATGTCTCACTGGGATGTTCAGAAAATGTATGTGAAGTTCACATCATTTAGTATTAAGATGCTATGGTTATTTTCTTCTGTTGGCCACACTATGTAGCCATA